CGTCCTGAAGCAGACGATGACTGGTCTGCTGCCGGTTCTGAGTTCGACTCTTCTGACGATGACGACGACGAGCGGCCAGGAGGTGGTAGCGCTAAACAACTCGCGAGTATTCTGTTTGGTACTATGGCACCACCACGACCTTTGAGTGCTATGGATGACAAATCGCCCTCCAAGTCGTCGACCCCAGTGCAAGACAGCTCAGTTGCCTCTCTCCCGGTGCCCGAGCCGAACGGCAGCCTCTCTGCTCCTGCTGCCCCTCCTCCGCCACCTCCTCCTCCGCCACCAGCGGCAGTGCCTAGCTATGATCCGTCCGTTGCACCGCCTCCACCTCCTGCACCACCTATGGCACCACCTGCGCCACCTCCAGGCCCTCCGCCGCCCCCCGGCCCTCCACCACCACCAGCTCCTCCCGTTGCCAGTGGCCCGCCTGCACCTGCAGGAGCCCCAGATCGTAGCGCGCTCTTGGCCTCAATTCAAATGGGCAAAGGGCTTCGGAAGGTCCAGACGAATGATCGGAGCACGAGCTCGAGTGCCGGCCGTGTGCTTGGCTAGATTCACGGCAAGTTGACGCACGGCTGCCAGCAATCTATCGCCAGTGAACACCAAGAACTGTATATTGTGAAATGGAAATCCATATACCGTAGGAACTTATAGCGTTATATGCTTGCTTGTTTTTCCATCTCTGTCGCCTCAATTGTAGTTACTCACAGCCGGCCAAAAATTGCATTTTCAGTCGACTTCCACTTTCAAGATAACAACTCATGGATTAAGACACCGTCAGATAGACGTGCACAACTGCAGTCGTGGCCAAAAAGGATGTATATGCATACATGACAGAAGTCATTGCTCAAATAGTAGACAGCGTTGCAAAGTAAACGTACAAGGGACGCAGGTAGGCGCCAAACCCAAGCATGAGGTACAGTGGTATCCAAGGGAAAAGTGAAGACCCAAGATCAAAAGAAGACAGGATCACTTAGCTCATGGCTAGGCAACTACCTCAACAATAACGTTCCCTAACGTGCTAAAGGCCCATAAAATGACCAGACCCCAGCCGATCTTTCGATCCATTCTCCAATTATTCAATGGAACAACTATCAGCAAAAGGAGCAAAGTAGTCAGAAGTGTAGCGCCACTAATGACCAGGATCTTGGAGACAGCGATCTCGTAAGAACCCTGACGGGCGATTTCCGTTTCTGGCTTCGCTTTCACGGTCATGTAAAGACCGCCCAAGCCAATTCCCAAGAGAATATTTAGCATCGGTCCTCCAAAACAGGCACTCAAAGCCATGACTGGATACCCTAGGCGGGCAACGGTAATATCGGCAACGAGATCACCCAGTGAATTCCCGACAGCGAACACAGTGAGCCCTAAGAGGGAGTCGCTAATATTCAGAATGACCCCGAAAGTTTTGAGAAGGCTGACCACTTCCGTGGCTATGGTTGCGATCCAAAGGATTGCGACTACGAAGCCCAACATGGCCAGAAAGGGGCGCCAAAACGAGGAAGGCCGCGAGGAGCGGCTATTCCTTGTACTCACCACAAGGCATGCAAGACATAGAAATGAGAAGAGAAGGGAGCACAAGGATGGGAGAAGAAGATTGCGGACTTTCATCTCGGGATCCATCGTGGTCCATGCGATCAAGGCGACAAAAAAAGGCCCCATAAAAAGCTGTACGTAAAGCAGCCACTGGCACCAATCCTTCGGCTGAGAAGCTGATAGGGTCAGTGGTTCAACAGCAGGCAATTCGGAGTCCCATCGTCGCCTTTCTTGTAGCGACCGAGCTTTGCGCGCCAGTGAACCCACTTCCTGATCGCCCAGATCACGGTCTAGAGCTCGAATAATTGGACTGTCTTCCGGCAGTCTCACTCGGGGTGCTGCCGGCTCTCCGCCGTCCGCCGAGGGTAATACGTTAGGTGCGGGGTCTATCTCACGAAGTGCTGGTTCCACAACAGGAAGAGTAATTGTGAGTAGCAACACACTTGGCGCTGCAACGATACCCAACAGTCGTCCTAGGAAGTTCTTGGTCCTCCAGCCAACCAATGTCGGGAAGAGCACCGGAATAACGGACCTCGCGATGCAGCTTGGGGAAAGCAGTGACCACTTTGCTGGTGATGAGGACCGATGACCTCCATCTTCAAACTCGTTATCATGAACTTGCAACGTCTCTGTAGGGCTCGCAGCGGTCGCAAGACGTATGCTTGGCGCTCTTGAGTGCACGGAGTCGACTGCGACTGGAAAAGGAGGAAAAAGGCTGGAGGCGCTTTCCGAAGAAATTTCAGCGTCGCGCGTGGCATATGGAGTCCCTAGTGGGGAGATGTCCAGCGGGGACCGCGTAAGGGGAGAGTCCGCCTGGTAGTTTGGCGAGTGGAAGGTACCTGGTGGTGCAAGTAGATTGGGGCTGGCAGACCGGGCGGCACCTGCTAGACTTGAATCGGGTGAGGGTCTGCCAGAGGATGGTAATGATAGAGTTACCGAGGTCTGGTCAGTTTGGGGTATCTGAGACTGAAACGTCTCTTCGCTTCCGGAAGGCCGACTAACGGTCACACGAGGCTGTGGCGTACCGGAAGCGAAGACGCTGGTATCCAGCTTGAGCCCCGCGGCATCGTTGGCAGATACAGCACGAACCCGAGAGGAGCCTGCTACACTATTCGGCGACAGAAGACGGCTGTTCCCGGAGGGTCTGCTTGTCCGGGGATGGGATGCGACTGACAAATTGTCCTGCTGTGGTGAAGGCGCGCGCGCAAGTTCTGGACTATCAAAATATCTGTCGCGCCCAATGGATGTGCCCCGATTGATGTTACGGGACTTCTGCAGGGAAGAGAGTACGGTCTGGAACTCCAGCGCGCCAACGAGGCTGGGCCTGATGGGATTCAATGTGTTGCGCCTGCGCGTAGAGGGGCGGAATACGTGCATATTCTCACTTATTTCAGCGAGATAGCGGTTGCGCGCGTCATCATCCTCGTCACCATCTTTCCAAGCCGGCAAATCGGATCCTTGCAATGCCTCGAAATCTTCAGTCGACGGTCCGCGGAGGAGACTTCTCGACTCCGACGCAACAGCCCGGTCATCCTCTTCCACCTCTTCTTCGATATCCAGCTCTTGGTTGTCTGGGATGTGGAAGTGAGCCCGTGCGGCTAAATTCCTCTCGTAGGTCCGACGACGCCGTACAAGGTACCAGTGCCAAGTGACAACCAAGACCACGTAGAAACAATACAGGCCAACCATAGTTGCTGATTCCCAGGTATAGAGCCTTCCGTCAGCTAGAAGCACCATACTGAAGCTGACAGCAATGACAAAGTATCCCACGTCCCGGACGAAGCTCCGCCGGGCAACCTTGAACGGCTGGACCAGAGCCATGGAGCCTGCAACGACCGACGTAATGAAGCTCGCAGCACCGATCAGCTCCCCGATGGCCAGACTACCGCTGTTTGACCTCATGGCAGCAAATGTGGAGAACACATCGGGGCTGCCATTTCCAAAAGCGAGAAACGTGACACCGGCTAAACTCTCACTCATCCCGAGAATGCTGGCCAAGGTACTCAAATCTATACACAAGAAGTCGCTTGCAGCAATACCTATGGTGCTAAAAAGCAAGGATAGCCACAATATGAGGACAATGAAAGCAATAGGTTTGGCGTCCGCAAGTGTGCAGTAGTACAGCTGGACATAGGAGAGTAATCCATCCTCAAGGTCGGAGCAATTGGCACGGACGAAGGAGCATTGATCCTTGGCTTGACGGACCAGACGGCACTGTCCCAAAAAAAAAAGATTTAATTAGCATATCTGCGAAGAGAAATGTCTTTTATTCGTACCTCTGGCCCATTGTTGCTTTGCAGGACATCCGTTCCTCGCTTGACATGAAGCAGGGAAGATGCTGCCGAGGGGTTGTTCACGTTCCCCAGAGACCAGCTGATCACCGACAGAATGATTAACGTCAGAAAAGCCCAATAGAACGGTCGAACAGAATAGGGACGTTTCCGGCGGATCGGTGATTGTCTCGGGTACAAAGTCAGGTTGCTTGCCATAGTGACCACTGCGGCATCATGAGCAGTAGGGAAGACAGCAGAAGAAGAAATTGCGGGGGACCATGTAGCTATTGGAACTATATAAGAAAGAATGAGAAGACAGCAACCCAACAGACTGAGAAACGAAGATCCAGACCGTGTGTAAATGGGTGGTGGTGATGAGGCAAGATCAGCTGCGGTGGAGCGACGATGGCATGTCCTTATGTCACTACGTAGCCCATCACAGATAAGCAGATAGGTACGGACGGATAAGGTAATAGAGCACGTCTACGTGAGCGACAGCCAATGAGTGATGTCAAGCCCAAAAGGTGGAAGTGTGGCTGTGTTGTGGCGGTGGTGGTGCTGCGGTGATCAAAGCATAATTTACTCCCATAGTCATTCATGAAATGAATCTTACTTGGTAATCTGAGGAGATCCCATTTTTATTGCAAAGAATATCATGTTTTAACTGATAATCTGTATTGAAGAGTCACCTACATACCTATTTTGTATCTAGGTAAGCATCATGAGAGTTTGGAATACGGTAGAGGTACATAAACTTACCAACAATACTTTACAAGAACGCTTAGTGAAATACATATGGTATTGAAATAATGTCTTAGGTTGTGTAAGACTGTATTATTAGTTAACTAAATTTACACCGCAACAGCTGAGTCATGTTAGGCCATGTGACTGCCTTCCTAGCCTCATGAAGCTAGTGATTGCACAAGTGGTTGCTCTGGCATTGCGTATGTTTTTGTTGATGTTGTTTGTTCTTGTCGGCCAAAAGAGGAAACCAGCACGAAAAGAGGAGACCCAGCGCCATCACACACCTGGACCGTCGGAGCCCGTGGATCTATCATCAAGAAATGAAGCACAGCTTTTGAGGGCGCTAATATATTTCATATTTTCTCATCTTTTCTCATTTGTTGTCAATCTTTTTCTGAACCCTCAGTGGCCGTCAGTTATCCCTTACTCCTGGGGTAACCATTCGCCATGCCCCGCGTAGCAAATCCTAAGCATCGCCGCTCAAATGGCGCATCAACCCCTCACAAGAACTCGCCTATGAAGTAAGAACTCAGACCGAATGACGCCTTAGAATGCAAAGGAGAAGACGATACTGACCAGGTCAGGATCCCTTTGAACGATGACACAGGGGAAAAGGCCGCCCGTTTGGAGGCCCGACAAGCCCGCCATGACCGCCAGATGGATCAGATCAAGGCTGCTGTCAAGACGCCAATGCCTCCTCGACGATACACATATGACCGCGCTTCGAGTATGAGTCCCGGTACCCCTAGGGGATCAGGACACCGCGGACGAGAGAGCGATGCTGATGGACGACGAGCGGTGACCCCAATGAAACGGGTCCCTATCTTGGCAAACTTCGAGGAATGGATGAAGATGGCCACGGACAACAAGATCAATGCGAACAACTCCTGGAACTTTGCCCTGATTGACTACTTCCATGATATGTCTCTGCTCAAGGAAGGCGATGGTGTCAACTTTCAGAAGGCCAGCTGCACGCTCGATGGCTGCGTAAAGATTTATACGAGCAGAGTCGACAGCGTCGCGACGGAAACAGGTAAACTGCTGAGTGGGCTGGCGGACAGCCGTGAGAAGCGGGCCCGCGACACTGGCGCGGACGGTGAGGGTGCCGATGACGAGGACGACGAGGAAGGGGAAGATGGAACCACGAGAAAGTCGCGGAGAAAGGTACGGGAGAACAGTATAACCGCTTCAGTGTCTCGGAACCGATCTGATTCTGACTTCACCAGGCCCAGAGAACACATGAGGCTACTCTTGCGCCTTCCTTTGCCGCGCTTCAGTTGAAAAAGTTTGAACTCGAATTCTCAGTTGACCCGTTGTTCAAAAAAGCGTCCGCAGATTTCGACGAGGGAGGGGCAAAAGGCTTGCTCCTGAATCACTTGTCGATAGATGGGCAAGGACGTATCGTCTTTGACAGCAGCGACGACGCTGTCGAGGAAAGTCCGAATGACGCGGACAATACTCGCGAAGACTCGGAGGATCCTGAACGCCCGAAGTCGTCTTCACCAGTTCCGAAGCGATCTTCTGATGAAGCTTTTGAGGACGTTGAGATTGATATAACGCCACTAGCGAACCAATTTTTCCCCGATTTGGCGCGCCTCGAGGAGCAGGATATCTGTCCGTCCCTCAAGAACTTCGACCTTGGCGATCCCACTGGGTCGCTCGACATCCCCTTCCTCAAGGCCCCTGAAGAATGGCGCAACGAGAAAGGCAATGAGGACGGACGAAGCGTAAACGATGCCTCTGGGATCATGCTCGACGACGACAACGCTGTCGGCTTTGATGACGACGATGGTACTCTCGCTGGATTCGATCTTAGTGAAGATGCCGGATTCGGTGATGGGGGTGAGGCATGGGCCCGTGAGGCTGCCCTGGAGCCAATGTTAAAAGTCCATCGCATCGACCGTGATGGTGATCAGAATCAGGACGGCGACGAGGCAATGGACGATGAGGATGGGTATGCTATATCGCTTACTCATCAACCAGATAAGCGTGACCATGAGAACATTCTCAGCTATTTTGACAATGCACTCCAGAAGAACTGGGCGGGCCCTGAGCATTGGAAGATTCGGCGTATCAAGGAACACGCGGCTGCCAGCTCTGCAAGTGCTGCGCCGAAGCAGCGGAAGGAAAAGGAGCCGTTTGAAATCGACTTCGCGGCACCTCTTGATTCAACCGTTGCTGAATTGATTTATACCCCGGCTAGTTCCAACTCCACCATTTCCCTACCCAAGACACAGTGGAGAACCAAAGGGCGGAATTTGCTACCAGACGACAAACACTTCAACTCCAGACAGCTACTCCGTCTCTTCCTCAAGCCTAAGGCTCGCATGGGCTCAAAGAAACTGGTGGGCCTACGTCAATTCAACAGCCGACGACAGGACCGTACCGCGGGTAATGGGGAAATGGATGAGGCCTTCTGGGCCAGTCGCAAGCAGGAGGAGGAGGCGGCTGCCGACGAAGATGCTGCCCCTGGCGCGTATGATGCCGATTTCTTCGCGGACGACGATGGTCTCGCGTTCCCGAACGGGCTCGGTATCGCCGACGATGACGACGACAACCTGCCCTTTGCAGATGCGAGAGAGATGTTGTCCCCGCCAGCTGATGGAGCTCCAGGCACAACAGCAGGGGATGCAGGAGGAGCTACGGGTATTGCTGCTCTCCTCAACATGGTAGGGGCGACGCCCAAGCCGGGCGCTGGGGGCTTTGGCTCACAATTGGTGACACAAGGCGGACGGCGAGCGCGACCTGAATACGTTGCCTATGCAAGAGTCGCCAAGAAGATCGACGTGCGGAGACTGAAGCAAGAGATGTGGAAGGGCATGGGCGAAAGGTTGATTGCATCCACAGAATTTGATTCCACACAACAAGCAAGCGCTGGGAACGATGTCAATGGAGTACAAAACGAAGAGACCGAGCCTGATGCACCGCCAACACCCACCCCCCAGAGACCACAGCCGGCCGAAGACTCGGAAGGGCTGAAAGAAGATCGTCGGTTGCGATTCACACAGATCATGAATTCCCTCAAAAAAGTCTATCCGCCAGAGAAGCTACGTGACATCAGCACCTCTTTTGGCTTTATCTGTCTTCTCCACTTGGCCAACGAGCAAGGTCTCATCTTGCAAAACGATGGTCTGTCCGAGGGCGTTGGCGCGGGTTCATTAGAAGAGATTTATGTTGCCAAAGACGCGAATGCCGTTATTGACGAAGCGTCTGCTTGAACCGATCATTTGATGGGGCACCCAAGATAAACATCGGGGGACGAAGATGCTGTATATTCTTGAATACCTTGTTCATTCAGGATGCTACGAAGTGCTACATGAGGAATTTCTGCAGGTTACGGATTGGGATGCTCAGGGCTACACTTGCGGAGGAGTTGGTGGAATTTATATTGTTATTTACCGTAGGTTTTCACCCGATTGATGTTTTTGACAATGAATGCCTGTCTTCTATATTTTATGGCCTTTAAAAGCTCGGTGCCGGTTTTTTGCAAATGGCAATCATGAATACAATTGCTCGGTAAAATGATCCATCGAGATTGATAGACTCGTGCTTCGCACGACATAGGACATAGCCTTGGGAAGGAGTACCTAGAGGGACCCGTGTTGGAGCACACGCAGCTACATATATGGGGCTTGGATATATGGCCATTGCACTCCATCTCAACATGATTGAAACGATCAGGACAAAAAGGGGATGTTAAAGGAATGATAAGCAATGCATAGTGGTATATAGAATGTAAAAATGGATAGATGAGATGAGACTAAAAACAGGAGCATTAATCATAGAAATTCAGTCATCCGTACCATCGAAGGAATGAGTATTCAAATTTTCGACCGGTTCGCAGAGTCGACTGACTGGGAAAACAACGGAGAGTTGGAAATACGATTCCAGGTGAAGCAGTAGGCTTCGTCAATGAGAAGTGCTAAGTAACACAGCGTCGAGCGACCCGGTTCTGCTGGGCACGGCGTAGCTAACCATTCTCAGGACCACATATTTTTCTCGGTTTTTCTTTTGTTTTTCTTTTTGCACGGCCATTATTGGTGGTCACTGGCGAATATTCTGAGGGAAGTTGGGACTCATGGGGCTTGTGTATGCTTCCGGGATAGGGACGGCCTCGTAGGTCCGCTCGCCAGGGGCGGCAGTCATATACGCATTGGTATTCTGGGCTGGAGCCGGCGGGGGGAATTCTCCTTGTTCCATCTTCGGAGTCGCCTGCTGCACACGGATGGGAGGCGGCTGCAGCTGGAACGTGGGCTGGGGCTTCGTCGGCGACCGGGGAGTTGCGAACTGCGTCGAGTACATCTCCCCGTTCTCGGCGGCCGAGTAGGAATCCTGGGCCTGTTGGACGGACACGAAGGGTGACTTGGGCATGTTGGCGAAGCCGGGGGTATTGGGAGCAGACTGCAGACGGAGCTGGGCCAGGTACAGATCCGACCTGGCCTTGTCACGGCGGTCCATTGACTTGAGGAGCCGTCGCTTGCTGTAGAACCGATAGAAGACAACCGCATAGATGAGAATGGCCAGAACTTCAACCACGATCTCGATGATGGCGCAAACCAAGCTCCAGTCCTTGGTAGTTGTTCCAGTCAGCCTAGTCGAAGTCTAGTTGGGAGAAGGAATTCAACTTACCTGCAGACGGCACAGCAGAGCGTAATCGACAACATTATGGAACAATTCCTCTCGTAGGTTTTGCTTGCACGACCAGCCCCAAAGGTCTTGACCATTGCCGTTGGCCTTGGAATTCTGATAGATAGCAGCTGCGACAATCCACATGATTAGACTGAATGTGAAGAAGCAGACTGAGAAGACTGTGTAATAGACGGCGACCTTCTCAGCGCGTCTGTGGCCACCCTTCCAATATCCCCAGAAGACGATCAGGCACGAGAACAGGGAGATGCAAGACAATGTAAGTAGGAGGTACTGCGGCCATGGGTTCGTCCCTTTGGCCCAGGGGGGTAAATTGTTACGAGGAGGCAGAGATTTAGTCGCGTGGAATATCGTCACAGTCGTTGCCAGGATAGAGAGTACGATCAGACTGCAGCCGAAGTTGACAAAACGAAGGAATATCTTGGCGAGACGCACGCGTAGTTTGATTCTCTGCAAACAATGTGTGAGCATTAATGATTGGGGAAGTCTGCTGATCCTTGGGGTCCGCTTACCAGGTCTCTCGCATTCTCCTTCTCAGTAACCTTTTCTTGCTTCTCCACAAAGAATTCTTCCCGAAAAGTAGGACTCAAGGGATTCAAAGTCCGCCCTGGAGTGCCTGGGACCTTGAGGGCACTCTTGAGAGGTGATGCTGGGGGAAGCTGATGCAACGCATGCTGAGCAGGATCGCTAGCTGCGACATAACCAAAACCTACGTCAGACACATCGGGCTGACTTTGTGAATGACTCGGCGGGTCCGCGAACGGAGACGTAGAAGCACCCCTGGCTTCGGTAGGGGAGTGCACCGATGTTGCCTCCGCGAATCGAGCGGTTCGAGGGCTCTTGAGTGACGAGGAAACAGAGGATTCAGAGGAGCTTCGCTCCGTCCGACCTCCACTTGGTTGCGAAGAGGCTGTCATTGGGAAGTGATTGTGACCACGTACGATATCAACGGGAGAAACAGCTTCGTAGGTCTGAGGAGAATTGGCCTGGCTCTCACTGGAGACCGACATTGATGAGGCGGGTCAATACAGGAGTAAGATGGGTGATTGACGAGTCCAGCAGAGGCCAAGAGAACCAGCTCTCAACCTTGGATAAGACAGGTGTTTGCCCTGGCGTTTTCGGGGACTGTATTTGCTAAAGTACGAATACGCAGCCAAAGGGTGAGCTGCAGTAATGTGTAGGCTCAGACCTGGTGCTGACTAGTGGAGGAAGGCTTCCATTTGCTGCAAAACTAGAAATCAGTATTACACTCATCGAGCAGCATCACAGATGAGTAGAAGCGAATATCACGGGCAGAAAGCGACGTCAACACTCACTTGATAGTTAAGTCAATCAGACAGACGATAATTACAAGATCCGTCTATGAAGAGAATTAGGCCTCTGGAGCATTCTTCAGCTTGAATAGCGAAGACGACTTACCGTAAGAGTAGTTGACTTCGTGTGCTCCGTTCACTTCAGAGGTGCCAGAACAGCTTGAACTTCTATACTCAACCGATGCAGCGGCAGCAGCAGCAAGAGAAGGAAGAAAATCGATTGATTGAAACCAAATCGGCGTGACCGCCCCGAATATCAATTATGAGCTCTGGGCTGGCCATCATGCTCGCTCGAAGTCGGGCGGGGGAACCCATCTTTAGCTTGATTCGATCCGGGCCGTGTGAAGGCGCAGGTGTGAGCGCTTAGCAACATGCAGCACAGTCAAGGCCGACCGGAGTGATTGGAGGAAACTTGATGCTGAGTTAATTCAGGGACGCGCCTAGATGGTTGTAGGTTAATATGTTGAAGGAACAAAAGTGCAGGATGAGGAGGTGACTGGATGCAGAGCACACTCACTAGCGCAACAGCCCTGGCTTATCACAGTGGAGAGGATCACAGTGTGTGGTAATCCGGCCTTTTATCTACCATTGACGATGCAGGCCGTGTCACAAGGAGAGCGAATGAGACGAATCATCATTGCATCCAGTGTGGTCTCTCGTCGACACATCCCCGGCGCCAAAATTGATCGTCTCTTGCCCAGCCAACCATGATGGTTGCAGAACCGCTGTCAAAATCCACATACTGCCACTTGTTTTCTCGTTCAACTGTCTAGCCGCTCGATCAGAGAATCCAGCATATTAATCTCTCCATCAAGGCCATTGTATGATGCCGCTTTCGATCGAATCTGGAGTCCTATATCATTAAGTACTAGATTTCATATGTGCACTAAGCGCCCATGATCTAGCCAACATCGATCGCATCGTCCCTCAACTTATTGATTCAGCAATCAAAGAGGTGTTGTTCTAAACGGAATTCACATATCATTCGAGAAAATCTATATAATCATGAGTACTTCTGTACTCTGAAAGCTGACACGCAGGATTCTTGGTCGGATACTTAACCACAAATAACTCATTTGGCATCTCTTGCTACATGGCCACTCATAACAGTAGTAGCGTCCTCTTACTCTTTGATACTTCTCTGATCTGAACTGAGTATATACTTTTCTGCTCGTGATCGCTCATCGAATCTTGAAAGGACAACTCTCAGTCAACTTGATTGAGAGCTATGGGGATACAAAGTAACAATGCGAGGCATTTACCAGCAGAAATATATTTTATCGTGAAATATCAACCTTGGAAGCTACCAACTTGAATGAAGATGGTCCAAGCCGTAGTTTCCATGAGCTCGCTGGTGGCTGTTGAAGAATATAAGATGGTTGTTATGGATAACCTCGATATCACTACCTATAGAGTATGTAACTTAATATTATATAATTCTGATGCTGAGAAGCGGATATTAGGATGATGACATTTAAGTTCAAGATATATTCGGAATGTGGATCGGAGACTCGGGCGCTGTCTACAGTATGGAGTAGATAGGTGATCACTGGCCTCAGGTAACGAGGAGGAACCCCTTGAGGCGTGAGCCTGGTATTTGTACTATCGCCTCGACATAAGTATGGATGAAAGGGGGGAACGGGAGTATGAACTTAAGGTATCTACGTCTCTACTCGGTAGACACCTTATGAAGATGCTGTTGCCCCGGAGTTCAGGACGGAGTGTACAGCCACCTTAAGGGATGCCCCACTGTCTTCTGAAATCAAATCAGGTTTGACTCGTCTTTCCAGTACGCAGTACCTATGATCACATTGGTTCGCCAGCCACACTGCCCTTGGGATGGATTCAGCCTCATCTTTGGGAATCGGGCTTATTCTGTCCCAATGCTACTGACAGAGCAGGTGGGGATGCATGCGCAAAATGCATTGTAGACAAGAGAGATAAAAACAGACAGAGTAGAGAGGTACACATACGTGCGGAGGATGATTGACATTGATGTCATTGTCGATGTTCCCGTCGAGTTTCTACGGAACAACCTTACCAGTGGGTACCTACTCCGTCCTATGTAGATGGATACGCGGCTCTAGAACATGGCTGTGCTGCGCCTTCAAAATTCCTACGCAATATCTGGGCAGACGTCGCTTTTTTCATTCCTCCCAACCGACAATGATCATGAGAATCATCGCAAATAGTCTCACCTTCATAAAGAGAAGTTATTCCCTTACCAGTAATTCTCCATAATTCGAAACTAGGCAGAATATTCTGGCATAACCACTGAAAGGAAGACTGTCACGTAATACACGGCGACAGAAATTGGCCTTAGGCATAAACTACCTTACCTACCTGACAGTACCTTACATCATTACATCCAGGATGTCAACCGGATATACTAGAGACCCGGTACGTCGAGACTCTGAATCTCGACCCGGCAACTTCCTTTCAGAGCCCCAGCATCCATACGGTAACCAAAATACGTAGCTTTTCCCCCTCTCCAGCCACTTTTTGGTCCCTTTTGGATCCTCGTGTTCGCCTTCAGAGAGACAGACGCAGAGAGAGAATCTCCGCTTTCTACTGTAACAGTAGCCAAAACATCACCCAGCAACACTAACCTTTACCTACCAATCCATCAATCCATCAATCCATCAATAATAAATCCATCAATTGATCATTCAATCCTCGAATCATTCTGTCCATCAGTCACTCCATCTTTCTTCCCCCTCAACCTTCTACTACCATACGGCAACAACAACCCCAAAACGGAATATATTGGAATTTCGCAACCATCCTAAATTATCGCTGTTCAATCTATCCCTTCTGTCAACCTAAAGCCTCTGATTAGATCCTTCTCCTCCCTTCCATTTGTACGCTACTTTTGTCGTATGCGCAGCATTGTCCCCTGATTTTCGTCTTCTCCCTTACCTGCACTTGTCTATTTCTGGTGGTCAATTTCTGCGATATTGCTGTTTTGTACATCTGAAGGGTCGATCAACCTGCACGACATTCGTTTCCATTGTATTTCAAATCAGTCGTTGCTTCGAGCTCTATTTACAGCCCAGAGAAGCATTCTCCATTCCGCCTGCACGCCCGCCACACTCCTCAAATCTCTTCCCACCCGATGGGTTAGCCGAATCCTGATACAGATTTTCAGCATTCATCAGGGGCGCTCATCCGGCTTGCAAGGCTCAGTCACTATTTTTACACTGCCACCGGGTCAATACTTCTCATCGTGGGGTCCCATATCGTCTGACAAGGCGTTTGCGAAAGCTGAACTTCCCACTCCCGTCAGCTTGCGCCACACTCGGTTCCAGGTGAGCGCCCCACGCGACGGTGCTTCTCAGTATAATGATATTACTCGTCGTTCTCTGCTACTTGACTCTTGTTTTTGTTCATTGGACTCCCTTTGCCTGCCGACTTGAAGATCCCTTCGTTTTTCCTGTAGCCGTTGAACTCAAGAGATATTCCTCACTGACATGACTTTCGTACAAGTAGCTTTCCCATTCATTCGTCAACCGTTTCCGGCTGGCAACAAGCATCTTTTATCCATGGCTGCATTGACGCAATCGACTAACGAGCCGGTTGCCATCTCCAATCCCTTATCTGGAACGCCTAGCTCGCTCATCTCGAGCCCGCCCGAATCCGTCGCGTTTCTGAAGCCATCGAAGCAAGATTCGAGCTTGACGTCCATCGCTAGTGCCGGACTGCACGTCTCGAGGTCGAGGGAATCATTACCCCAGATGTCCACCACTGCACCGACAGAGGGTCCGATGGACCGACCACAGGAATCGGAAAAGGCGTCCGAGCAGAACAGTTCGCTGGTAGCAAGAGAGGCTCTGGGTGCTAGCGAAAAGCAAAATGTCGGTTCCATCCACGACTCCATGACCATGTCCGCGGACCATATGCAAGTTGATTCAGCCCATACCTCCGGCAGCGTCCCCGAGACTTTTGGTACTGCCGACAGCGGCTCGACCTTAATGGCCGCCCCGACTGTAGCTAGTCCGGGCCCCATAGACGATTCTACCTCTCAGGACGGTGATCGCCCGCGCCATCGAGACGAGTCAGATCTGCAGGAGAGTAGCAACAAGTCTTTCTCTTACCCAATGCCTACGGGGCCTCTCGGCGATGCCCGGCGGGGTCTCAGCCTACCTAATTCTGGGTTCCAAAAAAGCGGCCAGCGATCACCGTCGGCCAAAAAGCACCGTTGTCCTTACTGTGCCACCGAATTCACCAGACACCATAACCTCAAGAGCCATCTTCTCACCCACAGCCAGGAGAAGCCGTACGTATGCCAGACCTGCCAGTCGCGCTTTCGGAGGCTCCATGATCTCAAGAGACATACGAAGCTTCATACCGGAGAGCGTCCACATATCTGTCCGAAGTGTGGACGTCGATTCGCGCGCGGTGATGCTCTTGCTCGACACAATAAAGGCCAGGGCGGCTGTGCCGGTCGCAGAGCGAGTATGGGAAGTTATGCGCCAGAGGATGATTATGGGGAGGGCGCAGTTCCTCCTGGTGCCGAAGATACCATGGATGGTCTCGTCTATGCCGAGCCGGAGCGAATGGATGAAGAGGATGAACGCCGGCTCAACATGCCCAGCATTAAAAAGCACGACGCACCCTCAGATTCTATTCCACGCTCTCACTCTGGCAGCAGCTACCAGCCGCGTCAGCCAAATACATACCCTCCAATAGCTGCCGGC